TCTTGGATGACAAATCTGCTTTTTACTTCACTGATTTGTAATATAATAAACTTCCTGTGGAATCCTGATACATCTTGCTGTCCCTTTCAAATACTATATAAAACCAAAGAAGGAAAGCAGCTCAATCTCCATCCCTTCCCCTCTTAGGCCCTTCAGTTGAGAAAGGATACATTGATGATGCTAAGACCAAACTAAATCATGACAAGAAAAAAGGATCCCTTTGTCAGCCCACTTATAAAGAACAAACAGCCACTGAAGGCACAGCCTCATACAAGACTGTGCTAAGCGGTTCTCAGTGCAGAGATGCTAGACATTTTCAGTATGGAGAAATCCAGTCTGTGTCCAGCCATGGATCCACCCATCCCCATTGTTCCAGAGCCTTCCCACTTCCCAGCCAGGAAACCAATAACAGAATGCTGGGAAAGCTATCAAAGGATAAAGTGTATAATGTAATGTTATTTAAGAGGTCTATGATGACATTTTAAATGAGAGCCATGTTTTGTTTTTTTCTAAATACAATACTCAGAAAGGGTATTTTCACTGATGTCTGCTGACGTCTAAACTCCAATGCTGATATGGCTTGGAGTCTGGCTTTCTGCCCTGCATGATCCTTTTGTTTTGACAAATGAGACAAATGACTAACTGTACTTAATCAATTCTAAGATGCATATTTTTTCATCTTTTCATCTCTGAAATTAGAACCAATGGCATTCTGCAGTTACTATGGGCCAAGAGACAGCTGAATGGGAGTTGTCACTGTCTATATATGCATAGACTTGGTCATGGCTATTGTAATATCATGATAAATTATAAATATATATGCATAAATAAGTCTAAATAAGCTCTTTCTGTGAGTATAAAATTAAAACTCTATAGACATGAAAGCATTACATAATAGTGTCTCTGGGAAATATATCTTTTTCTCAGTGTTACATAAAAAGAATTACCTTTAAAAAATCTCAGATGTAATGAAATACTTACAATATCCAGCACTGGGAATTTTGAAGAGTTTGAAAAGCTGTACATGGAATCACTGAGATGCTTACCCAAGTTCATACTAGGAAAATTTCTAGTTACTAATTAAAGATTCTTTTTCAAATATCTTTAATGGAATATTGCTTCATTTTTACTTGTACCTGATCACAACAAGAAATTCTCCAACATAAAAACCAAAACACCAGTAAGATACTGATTATATCAAAATACTAATATACTAGACTAGATTAGAGAATAAATTAATTTTTTCCATACTTGTAGCTTTACAGGAAGTTAGAGATTTTTCGATAGGAGCTCTCGACCAGTGCTATCTTATAATACATATAATGTTAATCACATACAAAATTTTCAATTTTCTTTTTAATTGTTGATGGATCTTTATTTTATTCATTTATTTATATGTTGTGCTAAGGATCGAACCCAGTACCTCACACATGCTAGGCAAGTGCTTTACCACTGAGCCACAACCCCAGCTTTCAATTTTCATGTTGCAATATTTTAAAAAGTTTAAAAATCAAGTGAAATTAATTTTAATGTCATTTACTATTTAGCTCAATATACCCAAAATATTATCAACCTGTAACCAATTTAAAATATTAGCCAAATTCTTGTTTTCCCTGTCTTTGAAATTTACTGTGTATCTACACTCATAGCATATCTCAATTAATACCAGCCATATTTCAAATGTTCAACAGCTACATGTGACTTGCGGTTCCCAAACTGGACAACATAGGTATGCATTTATTAACAAAATCATCCCTTCCAGAAACATGATTAACCATAAGAGCATTTAGCAGAAATTCAAAAGTGGGAGCTACATCCACTGTACCCTTGTAAATGTGAACTACAATAAACTGGTTATTCCAACAAAGACAATAATACATTGCTCAGGAGCAATCCTGCTGGGGATAGTCTAGCACAATGGTCTTCAAACTAGGCTACTGGTACATGAAATCTTTTAAGAAATACATGAGTAGGGCTGGGCACAGTGGTGCACACCTGTAATCCCAGCAGCTCAGGAAGCTGAGACAGGAGGATGGCAAGTTCAAAGCCAGCCTTAGCAATTTAGCAAGGCCCTAAGCAACTCAGAGAGACCCTGTCTCTAAATAAAATATATATATATATATATATATATATATATAAAAAAAGGCTGGGAATGTGGCTTAGTAGTTAAGTGAGTTCAATCCCTGGTACCAAAAAAAAAAAAAAAGTGTATGAGTAGGGACAGGATCCGGGTTTCCACTTTCTGATTCTCAACTTTCATGTGTATTCTCTCTTAAAATTAATTTGCCTAAGGACAACTTTACTGCCCATCCTCCGCGTATTTAAAATTAAAACTCCCCCCACCAGTTATTCTCAATTTTAAGCACTAAAATGTGTTGTCAACAAGAAAGAAAAGCACCTCCTGGCTAATAGTATGCATTGTTGATGCTGATTCTTTAACTATAATTGGATTGTTTTCCAGCACTAAAAATGTTTATACTGGTAAAATATATGCACAGAAATTGTATGTGATTTCTTTCAGATAAGGTACATCATTCAATTAAACTAATTAAAACCCATTTTTTCAGATTGTATCTTGAAATATCTTTTCCAATTAAAACCAATCTTCATCTCATTTTATAAAAAACATTTTTTTATCTCATATTATCAAAAATAATTAGGATGTACTAGTTTCTACAGCAGTTATTTTTAGCAATATATACTTTCTTCTTTCATAAAATATGGCTGAAAAGTTTGATTCTGTGTTCTAACAAAATTCATGGACTTAAAATATTTTTATATGTAATTAATTATTCCCAGAAACCCAACACTAGTGTTCTAAAAACATGTGTATACATATTTACCAAAGGAAACTGTACTTGCCATCAGATTCCTTGTTTCATCTGTCTTCTAATATCTGCTAAATATTTTACTGTTTAATTTAAAATGACATACCAGGGGCTGGGGCTGCAGCTTAGTGGTGGAATGGTTGCCTAGTATATGCGAAGCCCCGGGTTTAATCTCCAGCACCACAAAAATAAATAAACAAATAAATAAAATTGCATGCCAGTTTATGTGTAATAATGACTGTAATGCATTCCACTATTATTGTGTATTTAAAAAATAAATAAAATTAAAATAAAAAAATTACATACCAGAAATGAAATTAGTATTCAATTTCTTAATTTACTTTGAAGTGGATAAATACCTCATTATTATTTTAATCTTATATTCACTTTGTTATTTATTTAACAAGAGATATTCCCTATTTGATTTCTCTGTGGTTTTAATGCTGATCATCAAAATGCATCTTGATATATTTTCATTTAAAAAATAGAGCCAGATTTTTTCTCTAAAAATAAATCTGATTTGGCTGATTATTTTGACATGAACATAGCCTTTGCCAATTAAATTGTAAATATTTTCTATAATATTGTTGATTCAAATCTGCAGCAAGTTTTTATACTTAAAGGATGCAATAAGTCAAAAGCATTTTATAAAAATTATTGTATTGGCAAATACATATTAATCTAAGTATTTTGATCTTCCCAACCTTTTTTAATTATAGTGGATTAAGAATACTGCCTCAAAGTATAACAGATATAATGGTCATTTGATAAATCTTAGTAAAGCCATTCTGGTAAGCTTCTGGAAACTGAAAATGTAAATGGTTCTGCAACAAATCCTTTAGTAAATTAGAGGGCTTCTTTGCTTTCATGGAATTAAAAATTGACCTAATCAAGCTGTCCATTTAAACTTTAAAATTTTATTTAAAAATAAAATTAACATAAATTTTATTTAAAAAATTTAAAGACATTAAAATTTATTCTATCTTATTTTTTGGTACTGGAGATTGAACCCAGGGTGCTTTACTACTGAGTTGCATCCCCAGTCCTTTTTAATTTTTTGAGACAGGGTCTTGCTAAGTTGCTGAGGCTAGCCTGGAACCTCTTAACCTCCCATCTCAACCTCCCCAGTCACTGGGATTACAGGCATGCACCACTGCACCCAGAGAAAAATTATTTTTGATGATAGGTCACTCTATAATTTTTGACCTATGATTTATACACTCATTCCTTTTCTTTCCACTTATTTGTAAGAACAAAGTTATCTGAGTTCTTCTATCTGTAAAAATGAAAAATAAGAAAAAATACTGCATTCTGTCTTATTAGAAATAATAGTAATTTTCAGAGTCATAAACTAATCTGGGGAAAAATAAGGTCACATTTACTTAAGAGATGCATTTCCAACCACTTCTACTTTCCATTTTAGTAATTACTTACCAAAATGTATGATATCTTATGTTCTTCTGATCAACTGTTTGGTACTAACAATTTAATGAGAAAATTTTTAATACTTAAGAGGCTTAGAGTCACAGGGAAATTTTTTCATCCTTATATATTTTCTATAGAGATGTATTATAAGGAGACTATTAAAAGGCCTTTTAACATAAAAATATATTACCTTAGAATAAATTATGTGAAGGAAGTTGAATGGAATGGTTATTTCAAGGACATGGGAAAATCATATAAATTTCTGATGACTAAAGTAGACCTACTTCCTTGTATTTTTCCTTAAATCAACAATGATAAAATTCAAATTAGTACAGCATTTTTATTTCACTGAACAATGCAACATATGATGAAATCATTTTATTTAAAACCACAAGTACTTACAATATGGTAAGAAATTATAACTCTGCAAATGTTTAAACTTATAGTAAATATCTGGTGTTAACTTTAAGACAAGAATGTAGTGGGGTACACGGTTTCTCAAAATGATTTTAGGTGGCAAATAGAAAATGTAAAACCACTGCTGTAGAACATATCACCTATGAAACCCAAATACAAATTTGGGGCATGTGTGGGAAATGAGATTTTCAAAGGAGTTCATTTTTATGACTGCTTTTTAATTTCAGGATATAGCAGAAACCCCTATAACATGATGTATTCTAGCTTATTTACCAGTATGGTTACACAACCTTTGAACAGTTTAGAGCAATGCACAAATATTGTACTTACTCGATATGGTCACTAGGTGGCAAGTGTGCACTTGGCACGAAGCCCTCTCTCTCCCACTCTCAATCTTCCAGCTTCTGCAAAAGGGAAAAAAAATGCTAAAGACAGTAATAACAACAACAAATAATAATGACAGGAAATAATTGTTTCAAGTCTTTCCATTTTCCAGGGACAGGAAGAAAGCCTTATCACCTTTGAGAATTTCAGAAATAATCTTATTTGTGAATATAATATATTCTTTTTTAAAAACATTTTTTAGTTATACATGGACACAATATCTTTATTTTGTTTATTTATTTATTATTATTTTATTTTTTGTTTTCGGCGGATACAACATCTTTATTTTATTTTATGTGGTGCTGAGGATCGAATCCAGGCCGCAGGCATGCCAGGCGAGTGTGCTACCGCTTCAGCCACATCCCCAACCCGTGTTTATTTACTTTTATGTGGTGCTGAGGATCGAACCCAGTGCCTCACATATGCGAGGCAAGTGCTCTACCACTGAGCCACAACCCCAGCCCCACATTTTTTTATTAATACATTAAAATGATTCTTTATTAAAACATTTACAAATAAAGTTAATTAATAAATCAATATAATAAAATCATGCAGTTTGACCATAAAAATCAAATCCTATCTAGATAAGTACTTTGGCTCTAACAAAATAAAAAAATAGCAGCAGCAGCAGCGACATCTATGACATTCCAAACGGTAAGGTTAATCCCTTTATTTCACTGAATCTTCAAACAACTCTGAACAATAGCTGCCAAGATTACCCCTATGTTACCTGTGCAAAAGCAAAAAATGACCCCAAATCAATGAGACAGTAAGTGATAGTTCTGGGATGAAAATGTTTTGCATTTAATAGCTATGCATTTAAGTATTAAAATGTGACATTTTGGTGCTGTTTGTGCACACATACACGTGTGTGTGTGTGTATGTGTGTGTGTGTATCTTTCTATATTTGGTTATGTACCAGATGATATTTCTGTGCTTCCATGTGATCTCTGATTCTGTGTATGATCTTTCTGATCTACTTTTATACAGTGTAGTCAACTGAGGGGGCTTGACAATTTTCAGTTTTTGTTTAAGATGCTAAGACTAAGGTTCATTAAAAGTCACAACTTCCAGGGGCTGGGGTTGTGGCTCAGTGGTGGAGCACTCACCTAGCACGTGTGAGGCCCTGGGTTTGATCCTCAGTACCACATAAAAATAAATAAATAACATAAAGGTATTGTGTCCAACTACAACTAAAAATAATCTTTTTTTTTTAAAGTCACAACTTCCTTTAAAAAGTATTTGTATGTCTCTTACATGTGATTAAAGTTTTTTTTTTTTTGGGGGGGAGGAAATGGAGGGTACCAGGGATTGAACTCAGGGGCACTCAACCATTGAGCCACATCCCCAGCCCTATTTTGTATTTTATTTAGAGACAGGGTCTCACTGAGTTGCTTAGGGCCTCACTTTGAACTCGTGATCCTCCTGCCTCAGCCTCCTGAGCTGCTGGTATTATAGGCATGTGCCACTGTGCCCCCTGGATGTTTGTGTTTTTATAAGTATAAATCTGCATGTGTCTCTGTGCATGTAAGTCTGTGTTTCTGTTTTGAGGACTTACATAGCTACTCTGGCACATGTAAGTCTATGTGTTTTCATATACTTAACATACATTTAGAACTTGTGTACCATTATGAGCATATGAGTAGATCTACAGATCATTGTGTGTGACTATGTGTGTCAATGTATGTATATGTTGGTATGTGAGTGTGCACATCTGTCTGTATGGATGTCTGTATGTGTACACTTTCGAATGTGTTTAGGTATGTACTATGTATAGACATATATGTATGTCTTTTATATGCTCAGAATGTGATCTACCTTGGTCTTTCTGAGAGAAGGCATGACATGTAAGTGTACATCTGCATGTGCATTTGTGTGTCTATATGTAAGTGTATTTATAGAGCTCTGTGTGCATGTGTCTGCAAGAGGTTCTGAGTGCATCACCATGTAAGAGGGTGAATATGTATGTAAATATGTAGGACTGTACCTATATTTATCTATTGCTGATTCCACACTTATAAGATGACATCTGTGTCTGTGCAGACATGTTTGATCCCCATATTAACTGGCTGCAAATATTCTTCTGTGTGAGTCTCTGCATTTCTATGCATCTGCATGTACATAATGTGTACATCTGGGTGTGAGTCTCCACATCTGTACCTTTATATTCTTGCCTGTACTTCTCTTCATGACTAGGAGCTTCTATATTCACGTGTGTAAGCCTTGGTGTTTATCCATGTGTTCATCCACCTGTGTGTGTGTATGCCTGTGAGACCATCTTCTGTCTATGAGCATGCATGTATGTTTGAATATAAATCTGTCTGCATGCAAATTAATGTCTTCAAAGAGTCTCTGAGCAAGTGCAGCTGTGTGTAGATAGAATGTTGTTGTGCATGTGAGGACTCAGTACGTGTGGGAACTGCAGACTTTGGTACATACATAGCTTTCTGTACTGGGGTTTATTTGTGCATGCCTCTGTTATGTATGCCCATCTATGTTTGCATGTATATGTATGAGTGCACACACAAGTGTGTGTACCAGTATGTATCTGTGAATGAATGTTGAACTCCTTCTCTGTGGGTGTACACACTTTCACATCTATGAGCACAGGCCAACAGACCTGCATATTTCTATGAGTATGTTTGTATAGGTAAATGTTTACAGGTCTCTACATATATGTGCATATTCAGTGGTAGTCTGCATAATAATAAATCTGTATTTTTCTTATGCATCTGTACAAGTCTCTGTGTCCACCTCCAAGTGAGTATACATGGGTATGGGTATATGTACATCTCTTGTCTCCATGCACATGCCTGTGCCTCTGTGAATGTATCTGTCTTTCTAGACATTCACATAACCTGGCATTCTCCTCTTGTGTATGTGAGTGAGTCAATGTGACCTTATAGATGTGTTTTGGTCTGTTTTTGTCTTTTGGTCTGTTTCTCTATGTATAAGTGGATGTTTCCGTAAGCATGGATCTGCATATGTATGTGACTCTGCTAAATGTCTCTCTCTCTAAGCACAGATGTAAGTGCTTGTATGTATATGCTCTAAATGGATATACCACTGTGTCTGTGTGTGAATGTTGATGTCTCTTCATGTGTGTCTCTGTTTTGTCTGTGGGTACATGCATGAGTCCCTATGTACATGTGTACTGCCATGTTCTTGTATATGTCCATAAGTATACCCATATGCATGTGCATTACCATACATGTGTGTATTCATATGCTTAATAGTGAACACAAGCCCTTATGTATGTGGGTATGAGCATGCTTATGCATGTGTGTTTTAATAATTTATGTCTCTGTGTGTATATCTGTGACTGTGAGCATATGTGTACATACATATTCAAAACTATATTAGTCCCTATCTTTATCACTTATGAATGTTTATTTAAATGTCTCTGCATATCAGTAAAGACACATACACCTGTATCTACATATGAATGATTCTATACATCTGTCTACAGGTATGTGTAGACACATGCAAATACGTATGTGTCTATGTGGGTTCAGTTGTGCTTGTCCACATTTCCACCTGAACAGCTGGGAGTTTCTGAGAAGATATCTGTGCTTTGTGCCTCTAGGAGCATCTACATGTCTTTTATGTGTTTTGTGTACACATGTTTTCTCATCTTAGAGATCAGGAATAAGTAAATACATCCTCTGGATGCTCTCTGTGGGCTTCCCTGCGTCTGTACGAGTCAAGTGTTTCAGACTATATACTGCTATATGCCTACATAAAGATTATGGGAATCTGTGTGCATGTCTGTGTATTACACATGTGTATCTTGTGTACATCACACATCCCCTGTTGGTACTTTAGAGTTTATGTTCATATTTATGTAAATATATGTCTCTGGTTGCAACTGTGCGAAGGTATGGTGTATGGGTTAAGACTGTTTATATTAGTAATTCTTTGTGTAGATGCATCAATATAAACATCTGTGGTACTATTAGTAAGTTGTGTGTGTGTGTGTGTGTGTGTCTTCTAGGGTATATGTACTTCTCTATGATGAATGAACATGAATGGATGGGGGGAATTTCTCCCAGGAAGACTTTTCTGATCACTTATACACCTGCTTTTCTAAGGTACAGCCAGCAGGAGGAGCTCAAATTTTTCTTCCTTTTCTTGAAGTGGTCAGCAAAATAAAACTACAGCCTCCTCTGAAAAATACTGATTACTGAATATAGTGACCGGTCTGATAACACAAGCTTTTATATTATCTAAAGACAAAAAACAAGTAGCTGCTCAGATATTGAGATTCCTGTCGGAGCACTGCTGGTGAAGATGCCAGCATGCACCTTAGTTCCTCCTCACCTCTGGCTGGAAGTAGGGCCTACATGCTGCCTCCTGCTTCACCAGGCTTGTTTGTTAAAAGGGCTCCAAAGTTGCTTCTGCCTTCCCCACTCTACTGTCCTTTGGCTGAAAGTTAAGATTAAGGCACCAGGTATTATTTAATCTGTACCACAGTCTTGGAGGCAGGAACCAGTATCATTCTCAGTTTGCAAATGAAGAACTGTGAACCAGAGAATTAGAGTGCCTCAGCTAAGGTCATAAGGCCAATAAGTGGCAGGGACTGAATCCAAAAGCAGGTCTGACTTCAGCAAACTCATATTCCTCATACTCTACCACAGAACCATTCCAACTACCTAACAGCTTCCAGCACCAGGAAGTGGTGGAGCTGGGACTGGAGGCAGGCATGTCAGCCCTCAAAGGCTTTATTCTGAACTTTAGCCCTTTTCTGAAACAATCTCATTTAATCCTTAATAGCATAAGGATTTCATACATGTTGACAAATGGGCAGATGAACTCAAGGAAGTGTAGTCACTTGCCAAAGCTCTGTGTGAGCACGTTGGTCCTCTGTTCAGATCCTAAGGAGCAATATGACTTGTCCTTTGGGAATCAATATAAGACGAAGTTTGGCCTCGTGAAGTGACTTAATGTTCTAGTGTGAGCACACACATCACGCCCTTCTCTAGGTATTGTATGGTCTTCTGAGCACTCTAATAGGCCTGGG